CCCAATTTAATTCCGCTGGGATTACTGTTCTGTGAACATTTGCAATGAATCTAAAAACAATCAAAGTTCACCTTCCAGTTCTGTTCTTTGATTAGGAAGACAAGATTAAAAACATTTGTCTCCATACCATGTGTTTCACATTTATCAGTGTTAACAACATCAACGTCTGGAAGTTTTTTATGCACACAATAGTTTTAGCTTAATATATCTTACGGTGAGGTGTAGTCTTGCTGTACGTTCTACCTCGTTTCTGTGCTTGTTGATCACATAGGCCGGAGATGTATTAATACTGTTCTACCTGATAGCATGGACTGCCAGTGTGTTAATTGTAGCAGGAAATATACGACACCAACTTCAACAAGGCAGTAGGCATATTGGAGAGAGATTTTGATGAATGTACTGTAAATTATTGTTTGCACAGTTTCTGTAAACTTTCATCAGATACATCATGGCTACACGTGTCATGATGCAGAATGCTGGCAGTAAACATCTACAGACAATAAACACCTCCACGTACAGACAATAAACACCTCCATGTACAGACAGTAAACACATCTCCATGTACAGACAATAAACACACCTCCATGTACAGACAGTAAACACCTCCATGTACAGACAGTAAACACCTCCATGTACAGACAATAAACACACCTCCATGTACAGACAGTAAACACCTCCATGTACAGACAATAAACACACTCCATGTACAGACAGTAAACACCTCCATGTACAGACAATAAACACATCTCCATGTACAGACAATAAACACCTCCATGTACAGACAATAAACACATCTCTATGTACAGACAATAAACACCTCCATGTACAGACAATAAACACATCTCTATGTACAGACAATAAACACATCTCTATGTACAGACAGTAAACACATCTCTATGTACAGACAATAAACACATCTCTATGTACAGACAGTAAACACATCTCCATGTACAGACAATAAACACATCTCCATGTACAGACAATAAACACATCTCTATGTACAGACAATAAACACCTCTATGTACAGACAGTAAACACATCTCTATGTACAGACAGTACAGAAGTAAACACCTCCATGTACAGACAATAAACACATCTCCATGTACAGACAATAAACACATCTCTATGTACAGACAATAAACACATCTCTATGTACAGACAATAAACACACCTCTATGTACAGACAGTAAACACCTCTCTATGTACAGACAATAAACACTCCTATGTACAGACAGTAAACACATCTCTATGTACAGTAAACACCTCCATGTACAGACAATAAACACATCTCTATGTACAGACAGTAAACATCTCTATGTACAGACAATAAACACATCTCTATGTACAGACAGTAAACACATCTCTATGTACAGACAGTAAACACATCTCTATGTACAGACAGTAAACACATCTCCATGTACAGACAGTAAACATCTCTATGTACAGACAGTAAACACACCTCTATGTACAGACAGTAAACATCTCTATGTACAGACAGTAAACATCTCTATGTACAGACAATAAACACATCTCTATGTACAGACAATAAACACATCTCTATGTACAGACAGTAAACATCTCTATGTACAGACAGTAAACATCTCTATGTACAGACAGTAAACATCTCTATGTACAGACAGTAAACATCTCTATGTACAGACAATAAACACATCTCTATGTACAGACAGTAAACACATCTCTATGTACAGACAGTAAACATCTCTATGTACAGACAATAGACATCTCTATGTACAGACAGTAAACATCTCTATGTACAGACAGTAAACATCTCTATGTACAAACAGTAAACATCTCTATGTACAGACAATAAACACATCTGTATGTACAGACAGTAAACACGTCTCTATGTACAGACAGTAAACATCTCTATGTACAGACAGTAAACATCTCTATGTACAGACAATAAACACATCTCTATGTACAGACAATAAACACATCTCTATGTACAGACAGTAAACACATCTCTATGTACAGACAATAAACACCTCCATGTACAGGCAGTAAACACATCTCTATGTACAGACAATAAAACACCTCTGACAATAAACACATCTGTATGTAAGACAATAATCACTCTATGTACAGACAGTAAACATCTCTATGTACAGACAGTAAACACATCCCTATGTACAGACAGTAAACACATCTCTATGTACAGACAATAAACACATCTCTATGTACAGACAATGAACACCTCCATGTACAGACAGTAAACACATCTCTATGTACAGACAGTAAACACCTCCATGTACAGACAATAAACACATCTCTATGTACAGACAATAAACACCTCCATGTACAGACAATAAACACCTCCATGTACAGACAATAAACACATCTCTATGTACAGACAGTAAACACATCTCTTTGTACAGACAATAAACATCTCTGTACAGACAGTAAACACATCTCTATGTACAGACAATTAACACATCTCTATGTACAGACAATAAACACTTCTCAAATGTACAGACAGTAAACACATCTCTATGTACAGACAATAAACACATCTCTATGTACAGACAGTAAACATCTCTGTACAGACAGTAAATGTCTCTATGTACAGACAATAAACACATCTGTATGTACAGACAGTAAACGTCTCTATGTACAGACAGTAAACATCTCTATGTTCAGACAGTAAACATCTCTATGTACAGACAATAAACACATCTCTATGTACCGACAATAAACACTTCTTTATGTACAGACAGTAAACATCTCTATGTACGGACAGTAAACATCTCTATGTACAAACAGTAAACATCTCTATGTACAGACAGTAAACTTCTCTATGTACAGACAGTAAACACATCTCTATGTACAGACAATAAACACTTCTCTATGTACAGACAGTAAACATCTCTATGTACAGACAGTAAACATCTCTGTACAGACAATAGACATCTCTATGTACAGACAGTAAACATCTCTATGTACAGACAGTAAACATCTCTATGTACAAACAGTAAACATCTCTATGTACAGACAATAAACACATCTGTATGTACAGACAGTAAACACGTCTCTATGTACAGACAGTAAACATCTCTATGTACAGACAGTAAACATCTCTATGTACAGACAATAAACACATCTCTATGTACAGACAATAAACACATCTCTATGTACAGACAGTAAACACATCTCTATGTACAGACAATAAACACCTCCATGTACAGGCAGTAAACACATCTCTATGTACAGACAATAAACACATCTGTATGTACAGACAATAATCACACCCCTATGTACAGACAGTAAACATCTCTATGTACAGACAGTAAACACATCCCTATGTACAGACAGTAAACACATCTCCATGTACAGACAATAAACACATCTCTATGTACAGACAATGAACACCTCCATGTATAGACAGTAAACACATCCCTATGTACAGACAATAAACACACCTCCATGTACAGACAGTAAACACATCTCTATGTACAGACAGTAAACACATCTCTGGACAGTGTAAAACACACACCCTATGTGTACAGACAATAAACACATCTCTATGTACAGACAGTAAACACATCTCTATGTACAGACAGTAAACACACCTCTATGTACAGACAGTAAACATCTCTATGTACAGACAGTAAACATATCTATGTACAGACAGTAAACACACCTCTATGTACAGACAGTAAACATCTCTATGTAAAGACAGTAAACACACCTCTATGTACAGACAATGAACACACCTCTATATACAGACAGTAAACATCTCTATGTACAGACAGTAAACACATCTCTATGTACAGACAATAAACACTTCTCTATGTACAGACAGTAAACATCTCTATGTACAGACAGTAAACATCTCTATGTACAGACAATAAACACATCTCTATGTAGAGACAGTAAACACATCTCTATGTACAGACAATAAACACACCTCTATGTACAGACAGTAAAACATCTCTATGTACAGACAGTAAACACATCTCTATGTACAGACAATAAACACATCTCTATGTACAGACAGTAAACACATCTCTATGTACAGACAGTAAACACACCTCTATGTACAGACAATAAACACATCTCTATGTACAGACAGTAAACACATCTCTATGTACAGACAGTAAACATCTCTATGTACAGACAATAAACACATCTCTATGTACAGACAGTAAACACCTCTATGTACAGACAGTAAACACATCTCTATGTACAGACAGTAAACACATCTCTATGTACAGACAATAAACACATCTCTATGTACAGACAGTAAACACATCTCTATGTACAGACAATAAACACATCTCTATGTACAGACAGTAAACACATCTCTATGTACAGACAATAAACACATCTCTATGTACAGACAGTAAACACATCCCTATGTACAGACAGTAAACACATCTCTATGTACAGACAATAAACACATCTCTATGTACAGACAATAAACACATCCCTATGTACAGACAATAAACACATCTCTATGTACAGACAGTAAACACATCTCTGTGTACAGACAGTAAACACATCTCTATGTACAGACAATAAACACATCTCTATGTACAGACAATAAACACATCCCTATGTACAGACAATAAACACATCTCTATGTACAGACAATAAACACATCTCTATGTACAGACAGTAAACACATCCCTATGTACAGACAGTAAACACATCCCTATGTACAGACAGTAAACACATCTCTGTGTACAGACAGTAAACACATCCCTATGTACAGACAGTAAACACATCCCTATGTACAGACAGTAAACACATCTCTATGTACAGACAATAAACACATCCCTATGTACAGACAGTAAACACATCCCTATGTACAGACAGTAAACACATCTCTGTGTACAGACAGTAAACACATCTCTATGTACAGACAGTAAACACCTCCCTACGTACAGGGAAGGCACTGTTTCCATCGTACTCTTTTGTTGAAGGTGTTGAACCATGGCACAGATGTAACTTAAGATTCATTTGCTTTCTTCTTGTTTCAGGATTGGACTTGAACAAGAAAATCCCCAGAAAAATGACTGATTACCTGAAACGGAAAAATCCACATTTCAACAAACTGTTAATTAATAGATATGTCCTCATGTCAGCTTTGTCAGATGATGAAACAGACGAGTCTGGCATCACCTAATTCTGTTTATACTGTCTGCTGATTCCTGCACAGACATGGCTGTCCTTGATCACAGAGAGGGAGATCAGAGTCTCCGTCCAGGGACAGCATCCTGGTTGTGAAGACCCAACTAAGTAGATTTGTCAGATTATGACATAGACAAATGTGCTCTTGGTAACATCCCTTAAACTGCAATGGACTGTAAGTGAGAAACATACATGTCTACAGATAACACACAAGAAAAATTGTGTTAGCTTTGCTGGTAAACTGTTCCATTTTAGCAACCATTACAACCTGAAACAGACTGACCCAAGCCTATTGGGAAAGCATTTCATTTACAAGATTGTGAAAAGAAGCCCCTGAACATGATTGTGAATTACTAATACAGCTGTCTTCTTGGCTGAAGCAACTTTGCCTACCTGCAATAGGGACCTCGGTTTAGTTTTATAGTGGCCAGTATGTTGTCCTGTACACTTAGGACTGGCTTCAGCCTCCTGGTGGCCCGTGTACTGCCTGTACTCAAGGGTTCAGCCTCCTGGTGGCCCGTGTACTGCCGGTACTCAAGGGTTCAGCCTCCTGGTGGCCCGTGTACTGCCAGTACTCAAGGGTTCAGCCTCCTGGTGGCCCGTGTACTGCCAGTACTCAAGGGTTCAGCCTCCTGGTGGCCCGTGTACTGCCGGTACTCAAGGGTTCAGCCTCCTGGTGGCTGTACCGTGTACTGTACTGCTGGTACTCAAGGGTTCAGCCTCCTGGTGGCCCGTGTACTGCCGGTACTCAAGGGTTCAGCCTCCTGGTGGCCCGTGTACTGCCCGGTACTCAAGGGTTCAGCCTCCTGGTGCCCGTGTACTGCCGGTACTCAAGGGTTCAGCCTCCTGGTGGCCCGTGTACTGCCGGTACTCAAGGGTTCAGCCTCCTGGTGGCCCGTGTACTGCCGGTACTCAAGGGTTCAGCCTCCTGGTGGCCCGTGTACTGCCGGTACTCAAGGCTTCAGCCTCCTGGTGGCCCGTGTACTGCCGGTACTCAAGGGTTCAGCCTCCTGGTGGCCCGTGTACTGCCAGTACTCAAGGGTTCAGCCTCCTGGTGGCCGATGTGTACTGCCAGGGTACTCTGGTGGGGTTCAGCCTCCTGGTGGCCCGTGGTGGCCCTGCCAGTACTCAAGGGTTCAGCCTCCTGGTGGCCGTGTACTGCCTGTACTCAAGGGTTCAGCCTCCTGGTGGCCCGTGTACTGCCTGTACTCAAGGGTTCAGCCTCCTGGTGGCCCGTGTACTGCCAGTACTCAAGGGTTCAGCCTCCTGGTGGCCCGTGTACTGCCGGTACTCAAGGGTTCAGCCTCCTGGTGGCCCGTGTACTGCCTGTACTCAAGGCTTACTGCCGGTACTCAAGGGTTCAGCCTCCTGGTGGCCCGTGTACTGCCAGGTCCTCAAGGGTTCAGCCTCCTGGTGGCCCGTGTACTGCCGGTACTCAAGGGTTCAGCCTCCTGGTGGCCCGTGTACTGCCTGTACGTAAGGGTTCAGCCTCCTGGTGGCCCGTGTACTGCCAGTACTCAAGGGTTTAGTCTCCTGATTGTAGGTATGCTACATATCAGACTTGGTTTTCATCCTATGTTTGGAAAGTATGTGATGTTGTTGGTTTTGTCAACTTACCAGACTTCCCACTTCTCCCACTGCCTGTGGATCCTCGTGGAAGCGAACCAGTCAGCCTTTCCTAGCTTGCCAGCCATACACTTATTGAAGTCTTCAAGATAAGCACACATCCTTTTCCTACTTGCCACGTTTACATCCTCAGAAGTCTTCAAAATAAGCACACATCCTTTTCCTACTTGCCACGTTTACACCCTCAGAAGTCTTCAAGATAAGCATTCTTGCCACGTTTACACCCTCAGAAGTCTTCAAATAAGCACACATCCAGAAGTCTTTCCTACTTGCCACGTTTACACCCTCAGAAGTCTTCAAAATAAGCACACATCCTTTTCCTACTTGCCACGTTTACACCCTCAGAAGTCTTCAAGATAAGCACACATCCTTTTCCTACTTGCCACGTTTACATCCTCAGAAGTCTTCAAAATAAGCACACATCCTTTTCCTACTTGCCACGTTTACACCCTCAGAAGTCTTCAAGATAAGCACACATCCTCTTCAAAATAAGCACACATCCTTTTCCTACTTGCCACGTTTACATCCTCAGAAGTCTTCAAGATAAGCACACATCCTTTTCCTACTTTCTACGTTTACACCCTCAGAAGTGTTGAAGGTTGACAAGCCATTTTTTTCCTTTCTTTATTTTTGTGTCCGAATTCTTATCCCAAAGCCTGTGATGACATGAAACACCACTGAAGTTTTGAAGCATACCAGACATACTCCTGCTTCTGGCCATGCACACATTGAAATTTGGGGGAATGTTAAAGAAGACTGTATGTCAAGGTACCTTGAGCACAATATCTTGGGTTAGTGAGCAAGTGCTACATTTTATTCCAAATGTGTTTCATCCATTTTGTTTCTTGTAATAAGAACCCAAATGTGACTTAACAGGTTGTTGGCATAAGATCAGCATATCATGTGACAGTCACATGACAGCATGTCACTGACCTTAGACATTTTAATGTACCTTTGTTGGACTATTTGTGTAAATTTTGCATTGATTGGATTGTGAATGGGTTGGATGTAAAATGTCACAATCAGTTTGATGATTGTTGAGCATTAAATGATGCCACATGTATCATTGGGCAGTCACGTGTCATACCGCATGTCTGTGGAACAGAGATGCTCAGTCATTTGTCATGGAACCAAATTGTGTCCAGATCACAGTGCTATCAATGTCATAGGACCACCAGTGTCATGATATTGGTCGCTTTATTGTCTTTTTGTTCTCGCCTACTTTCAGGGATCATATGGCCAGCCTGTGATTTAATGCAGGACCATCGAAGCATTTAATTTTCCTGAGTTGGACATTATGAAACAGTTCAACCCACAGGTCACATGACTGCACATGGAGTCATGTGAGTGTCATGTGACACACCAGAGCTTGAGTGTCACACAGGGTATCATTGTTCCAGCTGTATATACAAGCTTCTCTGTGTACCATGTCTTTCAGGTGTGTAGCAGCCAGGCAGAAACACATGCTGATAATTCCTGGTTATTATTATTATAGGATATTTATGTAGCGCACATATCCAGGCAGCTTGTGCATGCTCAAGGCGCTGGTATTTTCCCCTCAATCATTGGATGTCAATCTCAACGGTACATCGTATTATCAATCTCAACTCCCTGGGGAGTCTACAACTCTTGCAGCCACTAGGCGCACCAAGTTAATGTGGCTTTCTCATCCTAACGAGGTACCCATTCACAGCTGGGTGGACTGGGACACATAGTCACAGTACTTTGTCCAAGTTCACTGCACGTTGCTGTACCCGCAACTAGGTGTTTGCACGTATTCATGTGGCCACCATCTGGTCATATACCAACGGATTTGTGGGTTCTTTTAAGTGCACAGGGTTGTGTACTGTACACTAGGGGTTGTGACAACACTGAAAGAGTCTGCACACAAAGTTGACTCCAAGGTTTTTACACCCGGTCTAACTCTTGAGTCTGCCAGGGTGGAGAGCAGACGGCATCTTAATGTAAACCCAGAAAGACACTGTTTCGAGCTAGTGGATCTATCATTCATATACTGAAGGTGTTCGTGAAATGTTTGAATACATAAGTTAGGTAATCATTACTACAGATATGAGTTTCAGTCTTAAATATGTTACTTTTTAAATCTTAGCTTGTAAATTAAGTAGCATTCAAAGTACTTACCGGTATTTTCTTTCTTGACATACATATGTGAATGAATATATTTTGTTGCTATTTGGTTAACTACATGTAATAATTTGTAAGAGAACCAAAGAAAGATTCACGGTGCATTATCGTGTCACAACAACCCCGCTTGAGGAAATTCTCCAGATTGAAGGGAGACAGTTTGTTGTGCCTGATCTTTGTCCATTTGGAGGTACATCGCCTTTAGTGTTATAGTGCAAAGTGGCATATAAAATCCTTGGTTACCGATACTTGCGATGTGTCCTCTTAATAGATCTGATACACTGTGTCCATTGTAATGTAATTTTTGTCCAGAGGGTCCGTACTTACTCTTGCAATCAAACATAGACTGCTATTGTTAATGTTTTGTTATTTGATGGAGTTCAAAACTTTATTAAAAGTCTGGAATCTTATCTTTCTCCATTTGAAGAAGCAGATAACTGAAATGCTCAATTTTAGGCCAAATGGTATGTGGATTAAGGAAATTTGAGCAACAAGTTTGATTGTGAGTGTTAATGCCAACATGAATATTGATGAAAATGTACCTTTTGTACACTTATTTTTGTCATTGTCTTTGATAGATATTTTTGACATTGTTTATAGTTAGATATATTGTACTGAAAATTATCTCACTAATATTTAGACCATATAAGTTATATTTCTAGATGGTTTTATGGCAAAAGGTTTGTTTTACAATAAGTATAGACTATCACTATAAAATATTATGTCAGTGCAACATATATTGCAAATAAACGTATTCATTAGAGTGTCCATGTAAATGATATTATTGTATTTTATACATGTATTGATGTATCGCCTTTGCATATATGTGCCTACATTGATGCTGAGATATGGTGTTCTGTAGAGCAGTTTATGTATCACTATGGCCAATATTTCTATATTTTCTTTCCAACTATGCATAAAATGTTCATTTAGGCCTGTTCAATAGGTGTTATATAATTATGACTTAATGAGCTGCCTAAGATACAACCTTTTTGTCACATATCTGCCCTGTATACTTGTGCAAGCTTCTAATAACTTTTGCATTTTGCAGATGCATATGTTAGTCTTCTCAAGCAGGTGCAGATTAGAAGACATTTTACTCAACTGCCTTAAAGGTTTGTGTTCATGAATAGTTTGAGATATCTTGATTAGAAACACAATATGGCTGCTGTCGGACATCTTTGCTAATATGTCAGAGTAAGCGTGATCTTACCTTCCAGAGAGGAATGCATACTTTGTAGCTTTAGGTTGTTAAATGAATCCTAATCAAAATTACAATAAATATTTGATATTTGCAACATTTATATGTTAAGCTCTGAGCCCTTAACATGATAATGGATCAAGATATCTATGTTATTGATTTAGCTGACTGAACTATCTCCGTCGTCTGATTGGTCTGTAATTTGACAGAACATTAATGTATGTGGATGTGCCCTGTTGAAGTCTTAATGACAGTAACGTTTCTTAGTCAAGAATTATTACTAACTGTCACTTCATTACAATGGAACATTTGAATGTTAAATGTGCATAAATAAAAGCGTCTGTAGTGCTGTGTCTACCAAACTGCCAGAGACAAACAATGTTAAAATCATAAAAATGTTCAGTAGGTTTTTATATACTTTCAAGTGATGTCAGTTATCTGATTGGCTAAGTTTATAAGACTGTTATTCATTGAGCTCTTGATGACATAAATGTTTCAAAATACCAATAGATATTGGTGAAAGTATCAAAACTGTTTTATATATATACACATCAGTTAACCAACTGAATAGACTTTCAGTTATTTGGTACTTTATATTTAAGCATGAATCAGCCAAGCTGGTAGATTCATTAGGTATTAAGTGTACTGATTCATTCTTTAAACAGTAAATGTAAGCTTAAAACCCATGGTTGTGTCTTGCTAA